TGTAGATCGATCAACACCAAATCTTTTTGCAATTTCTGTATATGTAAAAGGCTCGTCAGGCTCTAAGGCATTAATAGCTGCAATTGCAGCCTCAATATTGCTCATGGTGGTGGAGATACAAGGTGTTGAAGTTGTGGTAGTTGCAAGGCCGCGTGTGCGCGAGGTGGTGGTGTGCGCGAGGTGGTGGGGCACGGTATATCCTACACGATACCAAATAAAATTGCCCGTCCATCGTCGTCCATCTTACTCCTTTATGCAGTAACCACAGTTACGTCATGCATGCCCCTTTCCAACACCATGCCAATCATTTATTACTAAGTAATGCTTGGCTGTTTTATTTCTTTATCAGTATGATTAGTCATGATGCCATCCCCACGTGACACAAAAACATCTTCGCGGTTCGACTGTCTTGTATCCAATGTTGGCTGACTACAATTACTGGTGGATATTTCAATACTTTCCAAGTCTAGCAGCACTCCAACGTGCTTTACACATCCAGTTGACCTTGCAGCTCGTGCAAAGTGGTTTGTGTGCACTTTGTATCATGGCCTGCACATCTGCAAGTACATAGCTACCTAACTACCTGCCTAGCTACCCCTCCTCCATCTCCAACACTACCCCGCACCAACCACCACTCCCAGAATTGCGTGATTGCACCACCATCCCTAACGCGTAGCTTTTTTCAGACCCTGCCACCTGCCATTACAGATAACATTTACACATTCAGACGGCACGAATGGGGCTGGTGAGCACTTGCATGGCCTAGTGCCGTCCGGTATCACCTCAAAAGGAATATGTGGGGGCTATATCAGTACAGATGAACCCTAAACGAGCCATTTAGCGTGGAGCTCCTAGATACTGTAGCTGAAAGCTTCCAACGCGAGCGTGGGTGCGAATGACGTGACTGTGCGGCATAATGGTGCACAATTTCTACCATTTGATTGCTCTCTCTGCCCCTCCTTTCCCCTACGTACCTTTTGCCCAATCCATTGACTTTGCGTATAGTCAAAAGAGCAATTGACAAAGTGTTAGTTGGCCAAATCTTCCAAATACTTCTCACATAATCATCTCCAGACCAGCAGCATGGCGGACGAACTCTCCAAAAACTTTGAGACGCTGCAACTGCATGCCGGTAAGCAATTGCGATAAAGCGACAAACAAGGCGAATGTTCATGCTAACATGGTTGCTTTTAGGCCATACACCAGATAAGGAGACCAACTCTCGCGCTGTGCCCATTTATGCCACTACCGTATGCTTCCCTAAATATACATTCCTCCCATGTGTCAGAAGAAAAAAAACTTACAATCGCAGTCCTTCACATTCAGCGACAGCGCCCACGGCGCCCGACTCTTCGGACTCAAGGAGTTTGGCAACATCTACAGCCGAATTGGAAACCCAACCGTTGGCGTCTTTGAGCAGAGAATCGCCGCTCTCGAAGGTGGTGTCGCTGCGCTTGCAACATCATCTGGACAAGCGGCGCAGTTTATCACTATTTCTACTCTGGCACATGCTGGTGACAACATAATCGCGACATCCAATCTATACGGAGGCACATACAACCAGCTCAAGGTCTTTTTGCCGCGTCTGGGCATCAAAACAAAGTTCATCAACGGAGATAAGCCCGAGGACTTCAAGGCTGCCATTGATGACAAGACAAAGGCCATCTACGTGAGTTTTCCATTTCAATGCGACCCACTTTTCGACAAATGGCAAGCTGACCGCGCCTTGTATAGCTCGAGAGTATCGGAAACCCAAAGTACAATATTCCAGATTTCGAAAAGATTGTCGCGATTGCGCATGAGGCTGGTGTTCCGGTAGTGGTCGATAACACCTTTGGCGCAGGTGGATACTTTGTCAGGCCCATCGATCATGGCGCTGACATTGTTGTACACTCTGCTACAAAGTGGATCGGAGGTACATCTCCCTGCTTGTCTTTTCAAACCGAACGGCAGACTGACCGATACAGGACATGGAACCACCATCGGCGGTGTCATTGTCGATAGCGGAAAGTTCGATTGGGGCAAGCACGCCAAGCGCTTTCCGCAAATGATCGAGCCGTCAGAAGGCTACCATGGGCTCAAATTCTGGGAAACGTTTGGACCAATCACCTTCATCATCAGAGCGCGTGTTGAAATCCAAAGAGATCTGGGTGCAGCGCTGAATCCATTTGCTGCGCAGCAGCTTCTCCTTGGTGTTGAGACGCTTTCTCTAAGAGCTGAGCGACATGCCTACAACGCGCTCAAGCTAGCCAGATGGCTGGAGAGCAACGAGAACGTGAGCTGGGTCTCATACCCAGGTCTCGAGAGCCACCCATCTCACGAACTGGCCAAGAAGTACCTGCCGCGTGGTTACGGAGGTGTCCTGTCGTTTGGTGTGACAGGAGGTGGCAAAGCAGGATCCCAGGTCGTGGACAACTTCAAGCTTATTTCCAACTTGGCGAACGTAGGCGATTCAAAGACATTGGCTATCCATCCTTGGACTACAACACACGAGCAGTTGAGCGACGAGGAGAAGCTGAGTTCCGGTGTTACCGAGGTACGTACTATCGGTCTTGCATCAGGCCCGAGAGTACGAAGTTGCTAATTTGTATTACAGGATCTCATCCGAATTTCGGTTGGAACCGAACACATTGACGACATCATTGCGGATTTCGAGCAGTCGTTCAAGAAATCAGCGACGAAGCCTGATGAAAAGGGTAATCCGGACAATGCAGGCAAGACTGGTGAAGGCGAAACTCCTGCGTCATTGTCTGGTGCGACGTAGAGCAGTCAGGACAGCTCAAGGATAGGCATCCAGAAACACCGATTGTCAAGGCATAGCAGATATATAAGCAGTAAGACGAATTAATACTTAACAAAGAAAAGGTTGCGAGCCCTTGCCCTATGCGATATATCTCGGTGCTACACATAATATCGCCGTGTGACGTTATGTCGTCTCTCTGTAACTAAAAGGTACCATGTTGCGTGTCGCAGCCATTTCGAGGTGATATGATTATGCCTCGGTAACTCTCCCATTTGGTTAGCGCACCCTCGCACAAGCCGACCAATCGCCGCGACGCCCGTTTACGGCGCATCCGCGTGGTGAATAACTCCAGGCTCTGCTGGCTCTCGGCATGTGAAAAAGAAGGAAATCCGGCGCACACATGACGCACGCACACCCGTAACACATGCGCATTACACGCACACTCTTTTGCGCGCATGCACAATGCGAAAGCCAACGATGTGACCTACGCCAACGCTTTCCCCCCCCCCCCCCCAGCGAACACTCGATGCGACTGACTGAGCACAGTTACCAAAAGTCCTTAGATCCGGGGGAAAAAAACCACCAACAGGGTACACATGGGCGCATGTGGAGATTGCACAACTGGGTATTTGAAGTCACGACTTGGCGCCTGGCCGACTTGCCCACTTTTGAGCAGGCGCCCCCGGCCGGGGGAGGAGGCAGAGGGCCACGCGCGCGTCATTTGTGTATGTGGAACCTAGAGCGAACGGAATATGCCCACCCTCCCCCCTCCCTACCACTCCAAAGATGCCGAGGCAACACGCTCGTAAGAGGAAATATGTGGGTAGTTTCGGTCTGGGGGCGGGCCTAACTTGTCTTCAATAGGTGTAGGTTCGTCCGTGAGTTGATGTGGTCCTGTCTCCGCCCTTCTCGTTCTCTCTGACACTCTCTGTCTGTCCTTTTTTTTGGTGCTCTCCATCTGTTTAGACGTATAGAGGGAAATCGTAGTCTTTGTTTTCTCTTTGTTCTAAAGATTCGGCCTGACCAAAAAAAAAACTCAGCCTTTGTGTTGATATTTTTTTTCTCTCTCTCTCTCGCCTCATCCGCGGGCAAAGGATAGTCGCGATACGCGCTAGGAACCCAGGGTATGTTGTCATTTTGCACATGGGGAAGCTCGGGGACTTTGACTAATGTTTGTCATATAGTAGAGTTCTTGTTCGTTACGCTTCTTTTTCGGCGTCCGTTTGCTTCGCTGCCTCAAGCACCCCCGACTTGTATTATTCGTCTCTGCTTTTGGAAACCCTTTGGACCTTGGACCGTTTCGCGCACGTAGCACCACCACTACAACAACTACTACGACAACATGTTTTCAGGCAATGACGCTCAGATAGAGCGTGCGTTCGAGCTTCATACTCCGCCGCCAAAGGGAAAGCCTTATAGTGTTGCGCTGCCTGGTACTGAGACAGAAGGAAGAAGCGCCATCTATAGGCATTGGAGGTTTGCGGACAAGCCTCTATTGGAGAAACTGGTTCCCGAGGTACTTTTTTTCTTTCTTTACTTTTTCATATAGAGAAATAGTCGACATTGGTCGGAAGAATCAACTGACACCAAGTTACAGATTAGCACATCATTCGAGGCCTTTGAGAACGCGGTCGCGAAATGGCCCAAGAACAGGTGCCTCGGTCACCGCCCCTACGACGCTGCGACCAAGACATTCGGCCCGTACATCTGGGAGGATTATGAGACCATTGCAAAGCGAAGGAGGGATTTTGGCGCTGGCTTGGTGCAACTGCACAGACAAGCCGGTGTGACTGCGTCAAATTACGGTGTGGGCTTGTGGTGTCAAAACAGGCCTGAGTGGCAGATTACCGATTTGGCTTGCATGTCGCAAGGCCTCTTTACCGTTTCCATCTACGACACGCTTGGCCCGGATACGACTGAATACATTATCAACCATGCGGAGCTGACGTGCGTGGTTGCGGGAATGAACCACGTTGCTGCGCTTTTGAAGCTGAAGCCACGACTCCCGACTTTGAAACTCATTGTCGTTCTCGACCCGTTGTCGGCTGGCGAGCTTCCGGGAGAGTCAAAGGGAGACCTTTTGAACTCGCTCGCAAACGAGCAGGGTGTTTCTATCCACTATATCCGAGATGTAGAGGCTCTGGGCGAGAAGCAGCCTCTTCCAATGAACCCACCTTCACCGGACGACATTGCCACTATCAACTACACTTCTGGAACCACCGGTAACCCCAAGGGTGTTGTCTTGACTCACCGCAACGCGTACGCTGCAGCATGCTCGAGCATGATCCTCAATGGCGGCAAGGCAGGTGAGGTCATCTGTTCTTTCCTGCCTCTTGCGCACATTTACCAGCGCCTGACGGAGCATTCGGCGCTGGCAGGCGGCTCGGCGATTGGTTATTTCCACGGCAACGTTGTAGAGCTCGTAGACGATCTCAAGATGCTGCGTCCAACTATCTTTTCTGGAGTTCCCAGGCTTTACAACAGGTTTGGAGGAAAGATCAAGGAGGCTACGGTTCAGGCGACTGGTGTCAAGGGAACATTGTCGCGGCACGTCGTGTCCACCAAGCTTGCGGCTATTCATGACAAGCAGAACCCGACCAACAAGCATATGCTCTACGACCGCGTTTGGGCGAGCAAGGTGGCTGCGGGTCTTGGTCTGGACCGAACCAAGGTCTTGATCAGTGGCTCTGCACCCATTGACCCCAGTCTACACCAGTTCCTGCGCATTATTTTTGCAAGCAACTTCACGCAGGGATACGGTTTGACCGAGACGTACGCCATGGCACTGTTCCAGCACGAGAACGATTTCTCGTCAGGCAACTGTGGCGGTGTTGCGCCCACGACCGAGTGTGCCCTGGTAGACGTGCCAGACATGGAGTACTTTGCTTCCGACAAGCCATTCCCTCGCGGTGAACTTGTGATCCGTTCGTCAACGCGGTTCAGGGAATACTTCCGCAACGATGAGGAGACAGCCAAGGCCGTTGATGCCGACGGCTGGTTCCATACTGGAGACATTTGCACCGTTGACGAACTCGGCCGCTTCAAGATCATTGACCGCAGGAAGAACGTTCTCAAGCTTGCACAGGGCGAGTACATTTCACCCGAGCGCATCGAGAACCTCTACCTCGCAAACTGCACCTATCTGGCCTCGGGCTACGTCCACGGTGACTCGCAACAGTCTTTCCTTGTTGCCATTTTTGGTGTTGCGCCAGATCTTTTCCCACAGTTTGCGTCCAAGGTCCTTGGTGAGACGATTCCCGTGGGCGACATGGCGAAGCTCAGGGAGGTGTGTCAGAACAAGAAGGTCCAGCAGGCCGTGTTGAAGGATCTGGACAGGGTGGGACGCAAGAACAAGTTCAACAGCTGGGAGCGCGTCAGGGCTGTAAGGCTGTTTGTGGATCCTTTTACGATTGAGAACCAGCTCTTGACACCAACGTAAGTCGTCTCTGGTCACATGAGATGGGATGACGTGCTAACGAGACATAGATTGAAACTGAAGCGCCCGCAAACGGTCAAGGCATTCAGACAGCACTTGGACGAGTGCTACGAGGAGGCGCTGGCTGAGGAGTCTGCACCCAAAGCGAAGTTGTAGAGGATTGTTGTTTTTTTCTGTATGCTTACTACATGTTTGGTGTGTCAGCGCGCGGACATTGTGCGTCCCCCTGCAGCATGTGTACCATGGAACTATATGTAGATCGTCGTAATGTACCACGTCTTTGGTGAGATCGGGTGGCATCTGCTTGACTAGCATATTCATCTGCGCTCGAACACGTACCGTGACGAAGAAAATTACAGTTTGATGAACGCATGAACGTTGACGGCCGAGCTGGGAAGGCGGTGAAGGGCTGGCGACAACGTGTCACGGGCAGAAGTGGAGTGTAGCGCAGTGGCACGAGCAATCACGGGGCGCCAAGTCATGTAATGACGCAGGGTCCTCTTTCTCCGGCCCAAGGTCGCTTCTGGCTACGGCCGTGGTGCGATCCTTTGGTTCACGCAAACAACAACAACACTCGCCCGCCCCGTAGCCTCCTCCGCTCTCAATCCCAGTCCTTGCTTTCGCTGCACCGTCTGCACGAGGTGCTCCCCCTGGCCGCAGTCACTTTTTTGGACCCTCAATTAGCGAACAGCGCCCATGCCAACCACACGCGCAACTACACTGGCCATGAGTGAGGACATGGAGGAAGCTGCTCGCCCGCGCCCATCGCGCTTCAAGGAGCATACAAACACAAACAGCACCATTCGCCCACCGCCTGAGGAGCTGTGGAAAGACATTGCGATTGATGATCTGATTGAGCAGTATAACGAGGATAATGCGCAACCGCCCGTGTCGAGAAAAACATCTGCGAACCATACGGTGCGCACAGCCAGACCTGCGCCCGCAAGGACGAACTCGGGTTCCTCGAACTCGGATCGCTCTCGTGAGTCTTCGGCTCCAGCGCAGGCCAATTCGGCCTCTGGAACGGGCGAGGGCACGTATGCGCGCATACAGCGCGCTTTTGCGTCCATGTTTGGCAGCGTACTGGGCAAGCGCAAGGCCGGCAGCATGGACGCTGAGCGAGATAGAGAGCAGCAGCTTCATCAGCAGCTGCTTGACGAGCGCAAGAAGGCTGCTGAGATTGCCTACTACGAGGCCAAGGATCGCGGCCTGCTTCCAACGCCAAAGGTGTTTGTACGACCGGCCATGGCAGCCAGAATCAATCTTCAAAACGCCGAGAAGATGCAGCTCGGCTTGACGACAGAATTGGTCGAGGCCGCGACTCCAATGCGCATACCAGGCACGCCACGGACGCCCGGCCTTCACCACACGCCCAGCAAGAAGGACCTACAGAAGCAAAAGAAGCTCAGCAAGCGTGTCTCGGACCTCGAGTTCAAGCTCGCCTCCGCCCGCAAAGAGCTCCACACCGTCCTCTACAACGACCTGCCTCCCGCTCCCCCCGTCCCCAAATTCGCATCTCCCACCCCGGACGTCACCCAGAGCGAAAACGAGCCCGCCTCCCCCGAAGCCCGCACCTCAACCTCGTCCAACAACGCCTCCACCGCCGCAAGAAGCATGGGCCGCATCCTCAAAAAGCGCAAAACAACCGCTGCTGCCCACGACTCGGACGCCGACTACAAACCCCTCCCCACCGACTCCGAGGGCGACACAGACATGCTGTCCGTCCCGTCTGCCTCTGAATACGAAGCCGAGCCCGACAACAACAACGACAATGACGATGAGCCGTCGTCGACCAAGCCTGCGTCTCGCAAGAAGAGCAAGAACTCCAAACGCCAGAGCTCCCGCCTGAGGAAGAAGTTCTCGAGAAGCAGCATCAAGCGCGATGAGCCTGTCTGCGTGGTACCTGATGGCATTAATGTCCCCGAGGTACCTAGTTTGCCGCAAGATGTGGCGGATGAGGTTAAGAGTAGGGGGAAGAAGGGGGGGAGGGATGATGGGTATGGGGGGTTGGGTCATGAGATTTTTTGAGCAGGTTGAGTTCTGAGTGAAGGAAAAAAAATGTGCAGTTTGCTGGGTGGTTTGGGTAAAAGAGCGCTGGGGGGGCGTTGCGCTTTGGAGTGGAAGAGGAAAATTTTCGATTCTTGTGAATAAGTTTTTTTTTAGGCGGGGTGGTCGTTGTTACCTCTCTTTTCCTACTTCTTTGCTCTTCTTTCGCCGTGTAGGTGGAGAGGGTGTGAAAGGCATGGAATCGGGGTTGGTCCGACCTTTTTTTTTCCCCTCATTTGGGAAGGTTGGAGAGTATTTTTCCCTTTTTTCTTTCTTCTTCTTCCTTTCTCGACTTTCCTTTTGTCATGACTTGCATTTCGTCCTATTGTTTTTTTGCGGTTTGTTCTTCTTTTTCCTTGGGAATGACTACAATTTTTCTTTGTTACGAAGATGCAACGATGGTTATGACTTGGCCTTTTTTTTCTGCGGGGAAGATATGGATTGGTATATCCAATTTTTCTTCTTCTTCTTCTTCTTCTTCTTCTTTAATCTAGGGAAAGGGAGGGGTGTAGATATCGAATTGAAGATGTCTGCTTATTTGATGGTGTGTTCGTTTTGGTGTTGATGTATGTGGGGAGTTGGTTGTATGCGGGGGATGGAATAAAAGGTGGATATTAACACTCACTTTTCCCCTTCCCCAACTTTCAACTTTTGGGTAATGATCACCGCCTTAATCTGCTTTGTTCCAGGTAAATCCAAGGGATTAAGACGGAAAGGCCTATTTGTTTCTATACTCTGGCTCTCTCCCAACTGGACTTCTTTGCTAAGATGTGGATTAGTACTGTAGACTGGTGGCGAGCGTATGATGTCTTTTTTTGTTTTGAGTCATGGAGTGGGATGTTCACGAATGAAACGAGCTTGACATGATATATTTGGAGCAGTTGCTAAAAAAAAACAGCTTCGTCATCATTTTCAACAAAGGAAGAAACGTAGTGCTAAGTAAATGGCTTTTCTGGATTTGATTTGATAGTGTGTTTGTGCTGGAGGAATTCCTTTGGCTACTGGGTATGCGAGCGCGAAGGTTTTGAGGCGGATGTTACTGGACATGAGTGCTATGTGCGTACTTTAGTGATACTAAAAGTAAGGGTATGAGAGAGCGGAATTTCCAACTAGATGTGCGACGTTTGCAGTGAAGTAGCCTTTCCCAGAAGCTGGTTTTCCCGGCCACCATGACATGTACGGTACTCTGGCTAGTCTCCAGTGTTTGTAATAGATATTATCTCTGAGATTACTGCGCGATTTTACGTCGCTGATACTACAACTTCGTACCTACGATATCCACGTAGACCCAATATCTAGGCTATTCTTCTTTCTATAGTCCAGAGAATACACATCAGTACATGTTGTGATAGACAAGGGTCAGTTTATTCAAGAGCTCTGACGGGATCAGCCTACGTACCACAATTGGTACATTTTGTTTTGCTTTGACAGATAACATGTCCTATAGAACTGAATGTCCGATCACGGCTTACATAGTATACCCAAAGTGACGATACTATACTGAAAGCGTGTGAATAGTGCCAAAGAAGGGGTATAGCGTCAGATACACGTCTCCCTAACTACCCGCTGCTGACTACTAGCTCCCGGGTGTGGTAAGGTAGATCCTGGTGTGCATCGCATAACTTTATGCTAGCTAAATATGGTGGATAACCATATCTTAGCATAGATTTATGAGTGATAGCAGAGCTTCTTGGGAATAATTAAGTCGCATTTCTTGGTGTCTCATTGGGTGGAGTCGAAAAGTTTATCGTGATCCAGTAACAATACTAGGCTGGCGGCCCGTAAGCAATATATATTACGTGATAACTTGGAGGCAGTACCGAGCGCATCGAAAAATGGTGATTGGTAGCAGTCGCAACGGATAGTACTCAATATGGAATGCGGCCAATAGAGAGTGTCTGGCGTTGGACAGCAATGATGTGATATGTAAACACTTATGTCGAGCCACAAAAACGCCACACCAGCATGCCGAGAATGCCAGGGTGGTCAATGAAACAACAACATGACTGGCGCAAATGCCGTTATCCTCCTTGAAACACTACGGCAAATAACTCACGCTAGCAATTACCCCCGGATATCTGCCACCGGTCGTAAACGGCACCTCTTTCTCCACACCCCACAAGCCCTGCTACCCGTTAAACTCTCTACTAAACTTTCCACCAACTACGCACATATCCAATAACGTCACCACTTGCTCTTTTTACATATAGATTGACCTGTTTTAGCCGCACGGACGGGCGGAATCACGATCAACGAGCATGCGGAGGTCGGAGATTGATTGACAATGGACTGGGGGTGTGGTGGTGGTCCACCTAGCGCCTGGGCTTTCTTCAATCAAATTAACGGAGAAATTCCAGGGCGGAGCATGCGTCACTTTGATGGAAACATAGCCGCAAGCCCATGTGGGACCAACAGAAAGAATCTGGGGTAAAGTGTTTTACGGCTGGGCGGAATTATGAAAAAAGGTTGATACATATAAAGGGGTGGGGGCATGGGCATCTCGTATTTCCCACCTTTCTCCCTTTGCTCTTTTTGTCCGATTCTGTGAAAGTGAAAGCGGTACAACAGTAAACATGTTGTCGAAAATAATGAAGCAGTTGGCACTGCCACTTGCCATCCTATCATTCTGTACACCTCCCCCCCCCCATCACGCGAACCATTTCATCCCAACTAACCCACACACCCCCAACCAGTCCTCTCCTTCGCCAGCGCCCTCCCCACCGATGCCTCCCTCGAATCCCGCCAAACAAAATCCCTCCGCATCCTGCCCCTCGGCGACTCGATAACCTGGGGCTGGATCAACGGCGGCGGCTCCAACGGCTACCGCGAGCGCCTGCTCTCGGACCTCCAATCCGGCGGCTACACCGTCGACTTCGTTGGCACCCAGAAATCCGGGACCATGGCCGACAAAGACAACCAAGGGTTCCCAGGCTACACCATCAACCAGATCCGCGGCGTCGCGGGCGGCGGCCTCAACCTGCGCCCCAACGTCGTGCTCATCCACGCTGGAACCAACGATTTGAACCGCGGCAATCCGTCATCGGAGCCTGATGCGGATGCGCCGCGCAGGCTGGGACTGCTGATTGATGATGTGCTCAAGGTTGTGCCGAATGCGGTTGTTATTGTTGCCAAGATTATTCCGTCCAAGAGGGCGAGTCTGACGAATACGATTCGCACGTTTAACAACGCCTTGCCAGCGATTGTGTCGGCGAGGGCGAGCAAGGGATCCAAGGTTTCGCTTGTGGATATGGGCGTGTTGAATCCGAGCAGTGAGTTGAGTGATGATTTGCACCCGTAAGTATTTACCCAAAGTGATTCGTTGTTGTTGTTTTTTAAGGAAAGGAGTAAGTGGACTAACTGATGATAGGAACGTTGCTGGATACAACCGCATGGGAGATATCTGGAATGCGGGCATCAGGGCTGTTGCTGGATCCATTCCTGCTTAGGCGGGTGTTGGTCTTGGGATTTTTGTATATAGATGAGATGATGACGATACTTGAAGATGTGGTACATAGTATGATATGGGTCGATCACCGAAGAATGAGCAATGCAGTTTGACGTCCTGAAATCAATTGTGTCGTTGTTATACATGAGTGGAGTACCCTGGTAGAACCTACGCCGAGACATGTCCTATTTTTACATCATCTTTCGATCTAATGGTTTATTCCCTGTCTATAGCGCAACTATTGAGGAACTAGGAAATGTGCCCTATTTTTACTTGGCAATCTCAACACCACTGGTAGCACCTGCGTGGAATGTCAGTCTCGTCTCAACTGTAGAAAGGACCAAAAATATCAACACTTACCCAAAGCCCTCTTGATACTTCCATACAATGCAAACTGACCCGCAGTAAGACCACCCACCATGAAAAGACGAGTAGGAAGACCGGTGAAAGAGCCCCGGATACCCAGCTCGCCAGCAATTTTGATCAAACGCGAGACAGTACTCTCTCCAGGAAGACCCCGTGTCTTGTTAATCTTGGAAAGCATGGTATCAGCAGGCTGCGACACAATAGCGGCAGCGAAACCAGAGAGAAGACCCGAACCCAGATTGACAGTTGTCTGAGCACCATTTGACATTGTCGACTTGTCAAAGAGAGCGAAAATAGCCTCAGAAATCTTTTCAAAGGCGACGAATTTGGTGATTGTGTACGGAACCCTACGCTAGACATTAGCTTCCTATTTTCCTTCGTAATCTTGTGGTTGACAAGACATGTCAGGATAAAACTTACTGTTTAAAAAGAATTGGTCCAAACCCCGAATAAAAAGCCCCCACCCCTTCCGTCCTCAAAATCTTGCCGAAGCCCCCAATCAACCCATTCGCAAACCCGGGCGTCGACACGAGCCGAATCCGCGTCGCCTCAAGTGGACACAGCGCAATCGACGCAAAGAACTCGGCGCAGCCCGCAGAAACCGAGTACACGGCCGCGCGATGCTGGCGTGCCTTTTCCAGACCAAGCAGGTTAATCGATTGTTTCTTGAAGAACTCGTAGCCGCCGAATTTGAAGGCGCCTTGCATGAAGTAGCCGGCGAAGGTGGGACCGAATCCTGTGGCGAGGGCGCGGACGCCTTCGTTTTGGATGACCTGGCGAAAGCCGCCGATCATGCCGCGGTTGTAGGTCGCGGGGTCGAGTTGGATCCGGGTCTTGACGCTGCGGGAAATATTGGTATGGGCCAAGGTAAGGCTGGAGAGGAAAGGGGTATAACCTACACATCGACTGGTGTGAAAGCGCCATGGGTAACGGAGCATCCCAACGCACCGGCGAGGGCAAAGCGAGCGTAGAGGTCGATGCCCTCTGGAGTTTTCTGCTGGATATGCGGAGCCATTGTGGCGGTTGGTGGGTGTTGTGGATGCGGTAAGCAGAGTCGAGTCAATGAAAGAAAAGGGAAACAGGTCAGCTGGCGGGATTACAAGTCTTATGTCACGGCATGTACATCACAAGGACCAGGACGAATTAAAGTCGGAAAGATAGGGAGAAAGAAGGAATGAGCGATTGCAAGGCCCCCAGCGCGCGCTATTGTCGCACTTTGAGCCTGGACATGAGGTTAATGCGTGAGAGCTGCTTGGTGGGATCTACAAGCACCTGATTTGCGTATTCCGGAGTGGGATGTTCCGAGTACTTTGTTCCTGCAGCAGGTGCATATGGCCAAGAGAAGTACAGCAGGTTGCGGTGAACGTCCTGATGAGAGGTTGTTGCGTCGGACAGTTCACTTAAGTCCGCGCGTTAAGTCCGAAGCCAGCGATAGGAAGATGTCGGTCAGGTACCAATAGCGCGGATTTACCGCTTCTATGGATGCTATCGTCGCACGGTGCTTGAAACGCCGACTACTAGATCAAGATGGCGCATCTCTGGCGGCATTGCGATACGAGTCTAAAAGCAGGTTAGAGTAAGAAACAAAGAGAGCTGTGAGCAACCAAGGATAATGCAAATTTCTTTGTCAGAACTTGGTTGATATGCAAGTGCCATGATTGAATGTATAAATTTTCTTTAAGCTGATGTTACTACCAGCGGATCCGTAGATCATCTTTTACCCTAACGCCGTCGCTCAAGAATGTAATGCAAAACGTTGACTTTCCGTGGCGCATGCCGCGTCTTGTCCTTGTTCCTAGCCCTTGCTTCTTCGTTGTTGCCCTTAATCCTTGGGCATCATATCCTGCTCGCTGCCATCTCTTGGTACGTAGTTGATGCCGGCGCTCTCGATCAAGCCAATAATGTCGTCGGGGAGGATACCCTCGACCTGGGTCGCGTACACACCCGGCTGGTAACCCTCGAGGCGCTGGTACCTGGCCACCCAGCTCTTGGTGGTGTCTGCGACGGTGATGAGACCCTCAAAGACTTGCGAGGTACAGTCGTTGATCTGCTCCGGGTTGCCGGTGAGCTCGAGAAACTCTTCGCAGTTGGGGCAGCCCTGGGACAGGAACTGCTGCTGGGTGCGGACAATGGAGCAGACCATGCAGGCGCGCATGTTGCGCTGCTGGTTTGGGGGGATGTACGCGCCGCCAGCCATATCTTCGTTGGTATCAGAGTGTCTGTCGTCGGGTGTACGATTTGTGGACGCGCTGCCTGGGCCTCGATGTTGACGTTGACTGCGGCGTGTATTCGGTGAAGATGGCTCTGGTGGATACGGCTGGTTCTGAAGATAGCAGGGATAGTTTGTGCCTGGTCCAGGAGGATGATAGGCAGGGAGAGGAAGGACAGGCTGGCTGATGGTGTTGTAAGGAAACAATGTGCTACTACTGCTAGTACTTTGTTCCACGGTCCCAGAAGCTTGGCGAGGCTGGCGGCGCTCTGGCTCTGGCTCTGGCTCTGGCCCTGGCTCTGTTCTACAGGGGTTTAGTGGCTCGCGTGAGGTTGCGGCATCGGCATCGGCATAGGGATTCTCCTCCTCCAGGTAGTGGCCTGGTCGGTTGTATTGATAGGTATGTCTGTTGTCTCCTGGTGTGCTATTCGACACAGAACCGAGCTCTTGATTGTCCTGGCCAGGCCTGGAATGTGTACCGCCTTTGGTCGTCGTCGACCTGACCATTGCAGTGCCCTTACGCGCCATGACGGCTAGTCGGGGCCGGGACCGCTGGTTGGCCTGTGATGCTGGGGGGGGACAATCTAGTGGCAAGGCGAGGCGAGCGAGCGAGGGCGGGACGGAATTGATTGATGACTTTTGGCGGGCAGTGCGGGCAACGAACCTTCTCGCCTTTTGTGGTGCGTCATTGTTTGTGTCTGTCTCTTTTTTGCCTCTGCTACAATCGCCGTCAAACTGCACCTGTGCCTCCCCGTTGCGCTTGCCCTGCAGTTGCAAGCCTGAGCAATCCACTGCTACGGCCCGTGCCGCCTTCCATCCACACACCATGGGGAGCCCGCCAGCTGAGGCTGTCCAGCTCAAGGACGAGGGCAACAAGGCCTTCAAGAACCAGGAGTGGGACAAGGCCCTCGAATTCTACACAAAGGCCATAGAGGCATACGACGCAGAGCCCTCCTTCTATACCAATCGCGCACAGGTACGCAGCCTGCTTGCCCCCCCACACAAAGCCCAACTGGATGCTAACATGCGCTCTAGACATACATCAAGCTTGAACAGTACGGATATGCTATACAAGATGCAGACAAGGCCATTGAACTCGACCCCAACAATGTCAAGGTACCGCACCCCCCACCCTTGGCTGCTCGTTATGTCGCTCACCACTTTCCCCGCAGGCATACTTTCGTCGCGCCTCGGCCAACACGGCCATCCTCAAGCATCGTGAAGCCCTCCGCGACTGGAAGCTCGTCGTCAAGAAAGCCCCCAACGATGCCAACGCAAAGCTGCGCATGGCCGAGTGCGACAAGATTGTCAAGCGAGACGCCTTCCTCAAGGCCATCGAAGTCGAAGATGCGCCCTCGGCCGCAGAGGGCCTGGACCTCGAACACATGGTTGTCGATCCCTCATACGATGGCGCAAAGCTCGAGGACAAGATGACCCTCGAGTTCATAGAGGACATGATCGAAAGATTCAAGAACGGAAAGAAGCTGGCCAAGAAGTACGTCTACCAGATCATCATCGCCGTCATGGACATTATCAAGAAGGAGCCCACCATGGTCGAGCACGACGTTGAACAAGGGCATGAGATTACAGTCTGTGGTGACACGCATGGTATGTTGCACGAGCCCATTCTTGACCTAATACTTACCAATAATCCTAGGCCAGTTCTTCGATCTCATGGAGATCTTCCGCCTCGCAGGAAAGCCCTCAGAAAAGCATGCATTCCTCTTCAACGGCGACTTCGTTGACCGAGGTTCCTGGTCCACTGAAATCGCACTGCTACTATACGCCTACAAATGGCTATACCCCAACTCCTTCTTCCTCAACCGAGGCAACCACGAAACAGATGACATGAACAGGATGTACGGCTTCGAGGGAGAGTGCAAGGCCAAGTACACCGAGCGCGTATTCAAACTCTTCTCAGAGTCCTTCTCAGCCCTCCCTCTAGCAACTCTTATTGGCAAGAAGTACTTTGTGCTTCACGGCGGTCTCTTCTCAGATGACCAAATTACCCTAGACGACGTGCGAAAGCTCAACCGATTTAAGCAGAGGCAACCAGGCCAGTCTGGCCTTATGATGGAGATGTTGTGGACCGATCCCCAGACAAGTCCAGGCCGAGGACCCAGCAAGCGTGGTGTTGGTCTACAGTTTGGCCCTGATGTCACCAAGCGCTTCTGCGAAAACAACGGTCTCGAGGCCATTATCCGGTCGCACGAGGTACGCATGGGAGGCTACGAGGTTGAGCACGACGGACGTTGCATAACCGTCTTCTCGGCCCCCAACTATTGCGACAGCACCCACAACAAGGGCGCTTTTATCAAGATTGGGCCAGACTACAAGCTCAACTTTACCCAGTTCGATGCGGTTGCGCATCCAAACATCAAGCCCATGGCCTACGCATCACAGGGCATGGCTGGCATGATCTAATGAGATTTGCAACGAATTGGATTCTGTCAATGTTCGTAGCGACGCATATTTTGGTGTTCCTCGGCGCATCAGCATAACGGAATCGCTTGGGCTTTGTTTGATCTTTCGGGACTGGTTGGGATGGAATGCTGATATACGACTGTACTATAGAGACCTCCACGTAGGGTCGATTCCAAGTGTCGAAACTCATGACTGGATGAAGATAACAATACAATTGTACTATTGACCCAGCATCATGAATCGCGCGTGCGTTGCCCCTCACATGCCGCCCCACGTGTTGTCTTCCTAATGTGGTTAAATCTGTTGACAAACAGGGGTTCGCAGCATTCATCCGCCAACTTGCAAACAAAGCGCCCGGCGGATCGAGTACATACACAATCCAGATACATACTGTGTGCTTTTGCGCCGCGGTCATTCTTTACGATTCAAATATCAGCAATGTGAAGCCTATCTTGTCTGTGCAAACACAATGTCGCCGTATCAACATCTCTTCTCCACTAATGCCGTCCTGGGTGTTTGGCGCAACCTCCGTAACACCAAAGACAACAACGATCTCTTGCTCACCTTGCAGTACCACCAAGAAGATCTTCAGAGGCAAAAAGGAAACAAATATACCAAGGGGGGTATTTCAGAAAGTGCACAAGAGGTTTCAGATGGAAAGACAGTGGATGTGGGTGGAAAGAGCATTAGCTTCGTGGTACCATGGCGGGCAATGCAGAACCAAAGACGGGAGCTGAAGGAGAAGGAAAAGGAACTTGCTGAAGCGCTTGTGGCACTTGCTGGAGAAGTCGCCTTCACTGGTATGTACCTAAAGACTTGACATACTCGTCAATGTAGTCGAATCTGTAGAATCAGGCGCATGCTGATATCTTGATAGACCTTGCGCCAACCCTTCAGTCTTCTCTCACTCAGAATCCGTTGGTCCAGATTCGCCACCTCGCAGCCGGCCTGTCACGTCAAATGTCCAAAATCGAATTTCAGATGAATGACAATGCCCCATTCGCCAATGGCAAGAACCTATACACAGGCGGAGAAATAGCACAAAAGTTTCTTCCCCCCGTCCAGGCTCTCTTTGAGCAAAAACCCGTCCCCCAGCGCATTATCTTCGAGCTATTAATGGAATTAAAAGATCTTGTCTATATGGCTATGGCAGGCTGCTCAAAAGAAGTACTAGAACACGAAATCGGCAGCACAGGAACCGCCTCCTTAGAAGAACTCGACGACGCAATCGTCCGAGCCATCACACCTCCACCCCCCTTTCTTGAATCTCACCATCATAAAGACCTAGAACAAGGCCACAAACGCTCCCTCCGCCGCAAAGCCTCAAGCCTCCTCTCCAAACACCCGAAACAAGATCAACAAGCCGTATCCTTCCTGCTTTCCGCCCCCGAAGAACTCATATACACCCTCGAATCCCTCGAAACCACCGCTCTAGCATTCACCCAGCTTCCCCTCCCGCTCCTCGACTTCTGCGCCCACGCCGTCATCACCCTGCGCCGTCTAATCCCCCGCCCACTCCTGTCCGATCTCTCACAGCAAAAGAAGAAGAAAATAAGGCAAAATTGCGCAGAGTATGCGCGGTGCAGCAAGTGGGCTGGGGCACAATGGCGGCAGAACGGTGGGTGTGGTCGGGATTGCAAGAATGAAGATGAGGATCCCGAGGGTTTGCCGAGTTGGCATCGGTGTAGTCGGTGGTTTGATGAGAAGGGGGGTGGGACGTATATGGTTGGTGGGGGGAGGGCAGTAGAGAGGGAGGATGGGTTTGGGGTTGTTAGAATGACGGCGGTGTGATTAGGTAGGATGGAATGTGGAGGGAGATATACCCTTTTTTTGACTTACTGACTGGATGGTTGGTGTTTGATGGGTGGGTGGGATTATGTGTGTATGCTATTTTACAAACTAGTGGTGTGTACGAGTTATGTGGATATCTTTAGTGGTTTGGAATGTGAAATCTTTGTAATATTAAAAGAAAAAGACTGTCCTGTCGTAGAAATACTTGCCGTGCCATATATATCAACCATATACTTTAGGTTTTCAACCAGCACTCCCTTGCTTTACAATAACAGCCACATTAGAATACATCCATAGCACCCTTAAAAATCCTCATGCACCTTCCTAATCCCACCTCACCTCCTCCTCCTCGGATCCTCCCGATAAATATGCGTACCAGGCGGTAGTTTCCTCGCCGTTTCCTCCTCCACCTCCCGCATAACCACATCCTCCCTTCCAGCCACCCCAGACCCCGCTACATCAACCGACACCCGGCGACTCCCACTCTGCACTCCCACCTCCCTCTCCACACCCTGTCGCCCTCCTCCGTCCTCCCGCATAACCACATCCCCCTTCGCCCTCACCGCCAGCGCCGTCGCGTCACCCAGGACATCAGCACGCACCTGTTGCCCACCTTTCTTTGGGATTTCACCCGGCACAGAGGTAGTCACGCCAGTGGATTGCAGCGGGACAGGAAGTCCAGCGTAGCGTTTGGTGAGTTCGTCAAAACTGAGGGAGCGGTTCGCTACGGCTGCTTCTTCGTCGCGGATTAGGTCGCGTATGTCCGAACATAGGTCGCGGATTTCATCTGGTAGATGAGGGTTGAAAGGGGCTTTTCCGGTGGGGGTTTGAGTGATGGGCAGGAAGACTGGGTGAGAGGGGATTTCTGGGCTGGGATTGGTGGGAGCGGCGATGTGGGTGTAAAGTCCTATGCCTTTGATGGAGGGGGGGTTGGCGTCTGAGATGGGGGGTTTTTTGAAGAGGTTGATTATGTCAGAGTTAGTGCGGGCTTTGTGGGCTTCGGCTGCGTTGTTTGGGGTGGTGTCGGTGATGTTGGTGGAATGGGGGCCTGTTGGAGAAGACATGGTTGCGGCCTAGTATATGTTAGTGGTTGTTTCCGTAGTTCGGTTGAAAAAATGAGATGAATTGAGAGATTTCGTTAAGTCTTAAAAATGATTGCTAAAACTTTATGGTAATGTTTCACAATGATCGTAGTCAGCATTGTGTTGTAGTACAAAAAGTTGACTTTCTCGTACAAAGAACAACCAGAAACTTACTAATACACTTCCTGCCAATTTGCCAGCTTTCACAGCCATGGTAATGTACACAGCAGCAATCCCTGATGCATGTCATGCAAGGGCCCGTCGCGTACTAGCGGATGAAGTTGAGATAGAACCCATGCATGACAGCCACGCTAGGCCCAACTCATCATAGTCGACCGACCTCTAATCAACGCGTCATTCCCATGTCAATGTATTCGATCTACCTCCGATCTACTCCACAATGTCTAAGCAACGCGCTGGACGTGCAGAAGTGCTGACATCAAGCAAAAATAGCATTGGCTGCTATGTTCCCCGGAAGGAACCAACGTCATTGTACAAGATTGCTTTTGGCCTGTCCAACCAGGCAGTGATCTCAGAGCCGAATAGCTAAAGAGAGCACATGGGAATATCTTGTGACATATGTAGCAATCATGCAGGCAGCAAGGTTATTTAGGACTAGGATTTCCCTTCATTCTTGCTGTAGTCAAAAAATCTCAGTCCTAACACCACGCATACCCGTAGCTGGATTCTCTTCAACTTCACCCAAAACTACTCCATCTAACAAGCCAAACACCGACCGCTTCGCCGGCCCAGTAGAAACCCCAACAAACAGCACCATGCAAACAATCAAAAACACAATCGCCGAAAACTTCGGCAAAACAATCTCTGGCGCCCACTCCCTCGCACCCGCAGACCAGCAATTCTCCCTCGAGGAAGTCCCCGACCTCAGCGGCAAAGTCGCCGTCGTAACCGGCGGCTCCGAAGGCATAGGCTACGGCTGCACGCACACGCTGCTCTCCAAAAACATCTCCAAACTCTTCATCATCTCCATGAGCAAAGACATCGCCTCAGACGCCATCTCCGCCATCGCCTCAGAACTCGGACAGGACAAAGCCTCCCGCGTAGAATGGCTACAATGCGACCTCTCCGACTGGTCCGCCGTAAGCCGGACCTCCTTTGAAATCACCCAGAAAACCGACCGCCTCGACATCCTCATCAACAACGCCGGCCGCGGCATCATGACCTACCAACTCGCCTCCAACGGCGTCGACCTACACATGGCCATAAACCACATGGGCCACGCAGTCCTAACCTCCCATTTACTTCCTCTCCTAAAATCCACCGCTGCCACGGGCACCAAAGTCCGCATAGCGCAACTCGCTTCCAACGCGCACCAAAACGCTCCCAGCGACGTTTCCTTCTCCTCCCTCGAAGAGCTAAACCAGGATCTGGGCCCCAACGGCCAGTACGGTCGCTCCAAACTCGCCGCCATACTCTACGTCCGCTACCTAGCCCGGCACCTCGCATCCTCGCATCCAAACGTGCTGGTCAACGCCACCCACCCCGGTGTCGTCGAGACACGCCAATCCGTCGAACACATCCACGAGGCGTATCCGCTTGCGGGTTACGGCGTCAGCGTGGGGCTCGCCCCATTTAAAAAGACGCAGTTTGAAGGTGCGGTTAGCACCATGTTTGCGGCGACGAAGACGGAGAAGAGTGGGCAGTATGTTTGTCCGCCTGCGATTCCGGAGCCGGGGAGCGAGATGTCGAGGGATGAGGAGTTGGGGGAGAGGTTGATGAAGTTGACGGAGGAGGTGGTGAGGGAGAAGACGATGGGGGAGAGTAAGGGGAAGGGGTGTCCGTTTAGGTTTTACTAGAGATTGTTCTTTTCTTCTTCTTCTTTTTCTTCTTCTTTTTCTTCTTCTTGAGTTGTGGCTTGTTGTATTACTATCCATGGCGTGGTTTGAAGTGAAACTTCAATTTTTCATCGTCTCCTTTCACCAATGCAAATGTCTCTAATTGTGCCTTGCATGCCAAGGCGTCGGAGCCAAGAATTCTACTTTATTTGAAGAGGGGATGGAAAGTCGTAAACTCATGTGGCCTGTATCTTCTCCAGTCATTCAGAGAGAAAGAGAGAGGAAAAAAAAAGTAGATAGAGCCATTGGTATCGCTGAAGTGCCTGACAAACTTATACATGCGAAAAAATTACCGCTCCATCGAGTTAAATAAAACAAGTGAGCACTGTTGACATGCCGAAAAAAAAAACTACGCAATACCCTCCATACCCATCGGCACCTGAAACCCACTCAACCCCTCACCCGCACTCGTGAGTCGTGCACAAAGACTCAAAAACACCACCGTCTCCGTGGCAGCGAGATAATTCAAAGTATCCAGCAAAATCTTAAGATGCCGAGTGAAGTTCTCTTCGTACTTGGCTAGCATGTCGAACATCTTGTCGACGCGCTGGGGGTCGTACACAAACTGCGTGGTTGCGGGTCTATGCGTGGCATTGAGCAGCGGGGCAGCCGCAGAAGGAGTGGGGGTTTTCGAGGATTTGGAGGGTTGGGATGGTTGGGGAGGAGCGAAAGTGGCGTTGATTTGGGCGACGAGGTCTGGGTCGCCGGTTACGAGGTAGCGGGATAGCGAGTAGGTGAAAGAGGCGAACATGGAGCATGTCTGCATGATCTTGTTGTTGATCTAAGGGTTTTTGTTAGCATGGGAATTGAGATGGTAAAGGGTGGGTCATGTGAACACTTACTCGTAGTAGCTTGCTGTTAGTAAGCATGCATTCTTTCAAACAGGTTGCAAGAAAATCAACATGGTCCTGCATCAGTTCGTCCACTGTTCGCTTTACTTGGGGTCCGCCGCTCTCGTCCTCGGTCATCCTGCCCTTGGCTCTTGCGTCTTGGTTCTTTTCCTCGCTTATCCGCGACATTAATGAGGTCCAGTTTGGCTCAATGACTTCCGATGTACAGTAGTATGTAAGTTGTTGCACAAAGACCAGCATACGTGCACGAAGTGTCCACGCTCGGCGTTTCCACTGTTCAATACGAGGGTTTCTTGAATGGTGTTTCCAGGCGGCATTCTTGCCTTGCTCGCCCCAGCACTTGGCCAGGTCTGTCTCAAGATGCTTTAAACTCAGGAGGTATCGGAAGAGCAGTTGGTAGCGCGTTAGGGTGACTCTGCTGACTACCAGTGACAGTGGGAATGGCATGGCGTAATCAAAGACCAGCGCCTGGTATCCTGTAATGTTGGTATCGTCTGTAATGGGCGCAGAATTTGCCGGTGTATAACTTGAAAGTGTAGCACTAGCAGTTTCCTGATCCAGACCCTGGACGTTGACAATCTTCATGAGCCAATTCGTCAGGCCAGTATTGTTAATCTGAACCTTGATGTCTTCCTTGTATGGGTCTTCGACGGCAACTGAACCAGCATGGCGTGTGGCGAGATCTAAGAGAGACTGCAGCTTGCCGACATTAACGTGCTTAGCTGGCTTCTTGAGCTCAAGCTCACTCATCTCAAGGAAGTAGGTGAAGAAGTCGGATCGGTCGAGGAAGAAGTAGTGCTTCAGTGAACGTAGTCGTGCCGGTAGTTGATGCGTCGTAAGGAGCAGGTTGAGAAGAGACGAGTTTGCGTAGGCGTATGAGGAGTTGACATTGTCCAGAAAGCGAGGGTCGTCAAAGCTAGTAGGCGCATCCTGCACAATCTTGCTAACGTCGACGCCTCCGCACTCGCGGACTACGTTCAGGTACTTGCCTGCCAGTAGTACTTTGTCCTTTACTGCTTCGAGTTGTGGTGGAACAAGGTTATCGCGTATGGTATATCTCTTCTCCCAGTATTCATCCGTGTAATCCTGATCTAACCGCTCGCGCTTGATGCTCCTCTGCTCCTTAATCAAAAATTCGGAATGTGGGTCTTTGATGCCGCCGTGATGTAACCACTCGTTCAGCATGGCCATGTATGGTCTGCTAGCCTCCCGTAGCAGAGTAGTCAACAGTGTTCGCGCTGCTGGATCTCCCGACATTGAAGCAAGGCGTTTTGTGACCAGGCCCAGTACACTTCCACCTTTGCAGAGTTTCTTGGTAGTATTGCCACCTTCTCGTAACGATTCAAGAATGTTCTCAAAATCATTGCTATCGTCGTCTGCCGAGTCTTCATCCTTCTCATCCTCTAGTATACCGTTTGCTTTCAGCAATTCGATGCCTGTAGTGTAGAGCTGGAACAACATGTGACTTGTTTGTTTTGTATGCAAATTTAACACGTGGAGGGTGAAAGATTCGTTGGTCAAGAGCTGGTGTTCGAGCTGGGCTACGAGCGTAAGATAGTCCTTCAGCAACCGGCGTACAGCCGCACACAAGGCATGGTTGACAGCACCGTACTCTTCCCTACTCAGAACCTCGACACAGGCTTCGACAGCAATGTAGTGGGTGGCAGTCTTCAACATGGACTTGGTCAGGTCGCGCAAACTCGGGTCAAGGCCAGGCATCAGACGAAACTGGGGGCCGACCAGACGCTCCTTCTCTTCATGTGGGTTGTATGCATCGCTGAAACGAATGTACTGTCCCTCAAAGCCCATAAAGACAAACAGCAAATCCTCAAGAATTGCCCTCTCCTGGGCCTCGACCGACAGTTGCGCGAGCGGTGTAGGCTGCAACGACACGGGGGCGGTGGACGCGAGGGGGGGCATGGAAATGCGTGTGGCCAGCGGGGCCGTTGTGTGCGGTACCAGCGATGCCTGTGGCTCCCATGGCGTCTGGGGCTCTTCGGGCTGAGACTTTTGCGAGGCGGCACTCCGAGACGGTCTCTCGACATCACGCGCCGGTTTCTCTGCACGGCTTCGAGTACTCTGATGGCTCTCGCTCGAGGACTTCAGCGGCGTCTTGATGCGCCTGACCTCGGTCTCTCGCTCTCGCACCTCGCGCTTTTCGGTACGGCGCTCGCCCGTGGTGGCGCCAGTTGGGCGCATGGTGGTCGAATGCTTCTTCGCATGCGATGCTGTGCTGGTGGTGCGGCGGTCGTGTTCTTCTCCAAGGGCGACGCGGGGTCGCGAGGCCGATGAGTGATTGGCATTCACGGAGCGACGTTCAGCCGTAGACAGGGATTTCATTGTCGGAACGGTGCGCGAGGACATGGCGACGGGGAGAGCACTCCATAGAGGCTGAGCGCTGTTGTGTTGCTCGTTGCTGCGCTGGGCCCATGTTTGGGCTGCAGTAGCCGTGTTGATCTTGGTCCCGCTTTCCCACGCGTCACTGCACGCTACTCGCTAAGCGAACCATGACGCAGACCGGCCTGGCTCCCGTTGCATCGCGCCATACATCCTTAGATCCGTCGGGCTGGACGTGGCTATATATAAGTATGTATGTATATATTGTCTGGTTATGGACACTGCGTCCTCGCACTACATGCCACGCCTAAAGGAACATACGACAAAAGAACTTGGAACTGTACATCTATCCCTTCTCTCCTCCTAGCCTACATATGTTAAACCAAGAAACCCATAGAGAACAATGCTTCTCTCGAGTGCTACTACGCGGTACAAGCGCTACATTTCATGCCAAACACGGGCTTCATGACAAAGAAAATGTAAAAAAAGAAAAGAAGAAGAAGAAGAAGCCAAGGTATACCCAAAACGAGACTGGGGCCATCCAAGTTGACCTGAAAAACTCCTTGCCAATGACGCGGTCACACATTCACATCAAACCTCATATCGTGCTCTCCCTCGACCAGTGACTTCGTTGCCAAACAGACGGCCTGCATCGACGCAGTACCTGGCCTCTCCTTGGCCGTCTCTTCCAACCTCACTGCCCCAGCACACCAACACTGCATCTAGGATACCGCCGAGGACACCTTCCATAGCGCCTAGAGCACCCCACCCAATTGCCGCGCTAATCAGACCAACGACATAAGCATAAAGACTGCCCTTGTAGGGCACCGTGCCGTTGCCTAGTTGAAGCATGCGTGCGGTCGAGACCCAGCCACCAAAGCCAAGTGCTAGCGTGATGACCCAGCGAATGGCATGAAGCAGGAGTTTGGCGAGTCTGTATGACTGTATTGATGGCCGACCGTGGTCCTTGAACGACCTCGGGCCGAGGGTCGTTGTTGGGGATGCCGCAGAAATAAAATTCATTTGCGAAAGACCCAGTGCAGCCTGGTTCAGAGGCACGCCATGAATGGACGCAAAGGTCAGAGTGAGTGGGTTCGTCAAGGCAGCAATCGGAGTCGGCATTATCGAGTAAGCGCACATGCTGATCAAACCGGAAATTCTCCTCGGGAGAACAATGAGCGGCAGGCGAACTACAAGGGAAATGAGCGTTGATAGACAAATCGTGCCAGCCATGGTATATGTCGCGTGGCTGAGCGAGGCTTGAACGACGGTCCTGGGAGAAGGTGCCGGCACGCTGTTGCGATGGAAGTACCACTGAGAAACGGTTGCTGCTGTAGTCGCCCTCTGCACACCTGCAATAACAGCCAAGACCCAGAAGTAGTCCAGAAAGAACGCAATACCAAGCCACCATGTGCTTGCATCGATGATCCACCGAGACTTGTTGCCTGCAAAGTGACCCCCAAGAAATAGATGTGTGAACATGAGAATCCAGATCCAGGACCAGACAATGACAGCGGCCAGTGTTGCTATGCCCACAAGGAGCAAGGGGAACTGCGCTCTCAGGATTTCGCTAGAAAACTCCAACATGCCGGTGGCCTTTTCCAGCGAATGACGCGCCTTGAGAATGGTATACACCCAGGAGCCAGCCAATAATAATGGGCCAAACGAGAGCCACCGCATCAGCCGGTCCTGGACGCTGTCGCCATGCCAGGACCCTTTGAAACTTGACACAAAAGGGTAGAAGAAAAAGGACACGGAAACAACTGGCACTGC